ATGTGATTTATCTTTTGTGATGGCAAAAAAATGCCCTTTACAAGCTTTTGATTACTCTATCACTAAGATGGTAAATGACATACAAAAACGTAAAACAGTTACAAACTCCTCAGCCTTTTCTATATTTTGAAATCAGTTGTTCTTATGTTAAATCAAAGAACAAATTTTTTTTTTTTTTCATTTTTTCTATTTTTAATTTTTTTTATTCTTTTGATTTTTTTTTTTGGTTTTTTTGATTTTTTTGTTTTTTAGTTTTTTTTTTTTTATTTTTTAGTTTTTTTTTTTTTTTATTTTTTGTTTTTTTTTTTATTTTTTAGTTTTTTTTCTATTTTTTAGTTTTTCATTTTTTTTTTTTTTTTTTAATTTTTTGGATGTTACTAACCAGCTTTCATTGGAAGAGGATGGAGATTCGCAGCAGGCAGCGACAGGTGGCCGCATGAGGAAGACCAGGCAATAATATTAGCCTAAAAAAAACCACTGATTAGAAAAATTACGAGACCCACTTTAATATTTTGTTTTCTATGGTCATTCACTTTTTTTTTTTTTAACTTTTAAATTTCACTTCTTCAATGCTAATTAATTTCTTACCTGGGATGAAGAGGTGATGCGCATCCTCTTCTCTTCCTACCAGGTCAAGTCTGCGCCGCTTCACCTGTCGTTCGCTTATTACGGCCGCGCATGCCCTCGGGCACCAATCGAGGGCATGAAGCTCCATTGCTGCCGTTCTCTGGGCGGCCGTAAATTCAGGTGGCAGCAAGAGGTAATGCCCACAACGGGCACAAAAACCTGGAATATGCAAATTAATCAGTCTACTGGCTTTTAAATGAATCAAATGTAGCGATATCTTTAAAAACTAATTGGAAATTCATTTCGCAATACTTACCATCTTGCTTGTGTGTTCTCGACGCGTGAATGCGCCACCCTTTCAACGTTTCAAACTGCCTGCAGCAGAGGCCACACACTGAAAATAGAAATAGTAAGAAAATATTGTTGCACAAACTGTTCTTCGAGTATCGATATAGAATTTTGTAATCGTTTTAGTGCATTATAAGGGATGAAATTTTCGATGATATCATATGATTTTATCAATACAAAGTCAAAATATGATTGTATTTCTTCTACAAATTGCGGCATATAATCATTTCTTAAGTTATTAAAATTATAACTTACCGATGTTCTTGCTTCCTTCTCCTTGTGCCACCGTGTATGGCTCTGCTTGCGGCACTATCAACTCTCTTCGGAGTTGCTCCGGAAGATTTTTTAAATCAGCTGGTTCGAATTTCTCCGGAGGTGCCGCAGCCATTGCTTCTTGCATGGCAGGAACCGGGATTCTGATTGTCCTCGTTCGCCTGAAACAGTTTTATATTTATTGCAAATTATTGGGTAGGTAAGGTTAATATCTAGTTAGCAAATTAGTACAATAGCTGCTAAAACTTAAACTTACAGGACGAGTTCGCGTACTGCTCCTACCGGTTCCTCGATCTCCATTGGTACCCCCGGTACCTCAGGCTCTTCTTCTTCTTCCTCTTCTTCTGGCAGAGGGGTCCACTCTGCTTCTGATGGCCAGTTCTCGGCCTCATCACCATTTTCATTTTCAGGCAGAGGAGCCCACTCTGCCTCTTCTTCGTTAAATTCCGGCTCCTGAGGTACCGGGTCCTCTTCCATTGCTGGCTGGGCACTCTGCCCTACCAGTTCCTCCAACCTCCACCCCGCCTCCGCCATCTTTCCTATGAGCAACTGTTCAAACTGAAAAAGCTATTTTTTACAGTCACTTTTTAAATTTGAAGCAGTGCAAAGTTCATCAACTCTTTCTTCATACTGTATCAATTTATTAAAAAAAAAAAAATAATAATAATATAAAAAATAAAAGCAAAAAAGAGGAAGACAAAGTGAAAATTACCTGAACAGTCCTGCTCACGAACCTTTGCAAAATCCGGTACATCTCCGGCTCCCTTTTAAGGTATTCGAAAAGCATTTCAATTTCTTGATCCTCCATGGGAGCCACAATTCTATAAAATTAGCAAACTTATCAAATTTTCACTAAGCACAAAGACCAGTGACGTAACTATTATTTACCTATGGTAAAAGAACACATGATAAAAAAACACTGATTTACATATTTTAATTTACCTACACATAATTCTATTTATGCTAATCACTAAATACCCCATACTTTCACTGATAATTCTGACACAACAAAAGTACAGGAAAATAGTCACGTAATAGTATGCAATCTTTGGCGCTCGAGAGTTTTTCATAATAATAGACAGGAAAATAGTGACGAAAATGAACATTCATATAATAGTATTTCTTTTTTACCTACACATAATTTTAATTTACCTACACATAATTCTATTTATGCTAATCATTAAATACCCCATACTTTCCCTGATAATTCTGAAGCAACAAAAAGAAAAGAAAATAGTGACGAAAATAAACATTCATAATAATAGTATTTCTCTGCAATATTTCGCGCTCGAGAGTCTTTATTCTTTCGCGCTCATGAAGATTTTTTTTTCATCTAATATATGGAGACTGTTCCATCTTCGAATATTTCTTTGGTCTCTACTACATCTCGACCTAACATCTTTGTACTATGTATATTATCGTTCTTCTACATAAACTTTCTTTTTCTTCTCTCAATTATTTCTATTAACTAATGCAGATTTTTATTGATTTTCTTAGGAATGAATAGACAAATAAAGGTTACGTACAAATTACCACTTCTGATTTTTTCACAATTTAATAAGATTTTTTTAGCAATTCATTCATGTTCTATTCCTTGTATTTCTCATCGTCGTCAAAATTTTTTTTATCATTATGGCATCCACCAGGTACTGTATTGACCAAAAACAGTGCAGTTATAGGAGCTGTTTACAAAAAGACTTTTTGATTTACTAGCTAAACAGGATATAACTTTTCACCCTTTTTAGTAAAAATAAAATTAGTAAGAATTAAAATGTTTTTAACATTTAATTTATTATAACTTTTAATATCTGTCGAAATTTCTTAGGTAACCCTGTCTGGATTTGTGACTAAAAATAATTTTAATATTTAAAAAACATTTGAAATCAATTATAATTGCAGATTTAATAAATTTCTGCAATGAAAGTTTGCTTTAAAGTTAACTTTTAAAATTTAGCATAAAATGTCAAAAATAGTAATTAAAATGTCAGCAGATCAAGTTTAATGCAAATAAAAGAATCAATTAAGTTCAATAAATGTTTATTTTTAAATGAATTACATTTTTCCAGCACAGGCAGATTTTATTTGAAACAGAATTAAACAAAATTAAAACATTTTTAGTACTTATTTTATTAAAACTTTTAATATCAGTCGAAATTTCTGTAGTAACCCAATCTGGATTTGTGACTAAAATTAATTTTAATATTTAAAAAATATTTGAAATCAATTACAAATGCAGATTTAATTAATTTCTGCAATGAAATTTTGCTTTAAAGTTAACTTTTAATGTCCAAATTTAGCATAAAATGTCAAAAATAATAATTAAAATGTCAGCAGATCAAGTTTAATGCAAATAAAAGTATCAATTAAGTTCAATAAATGTTTATTTTTAAATGAATTACATTTTTCCAGCACAGGTAGATTTTATTTGAAACAGAATTATTAAAAATTGAAACATTTTTAGTATTTATTTTATTAAAACTTTTAAAATCTGTCGACATTTCTGTAGTAACCCAATCTGGATTTGTGACTAAAATTAATTTTAATATTTAAAAAATATTCGAAATCAATTATAATTGCAGATTTCATTAATTTCTGCAATGAAAGTTTGCTTTAAAGTTAACTTTTAAAGCCCATAATTAGCATAAAATGTCAAAAATAGTAATTAAAATATCAGCAGATCAAGTATAATGCAAATAAAAGTATCAATTAAGTTCAATAAATGTTTATTTTTAAATGAATTACATTTTTCCAGCCCAGGCAGATTTTATTTGAAACAGAATTAAACAAAATTAAAACATTTTTAGTACTTATTTTATTAATACTTTTAATATCAGTCGAAATTTCTGTATTAACCCAATCTGGATTTGTGACTAAAATTAATTTTAATATTTAAAAAATATTTGAAATCAATTATAAATGCAGATTTAATTAATTTCTGCAATGAAAGTTTGCTTTAAAGTTAACTTTTAAAATTTAGCATAAAATGTCAAAAATAGTAATTAAAATGTCAGCAGATCAAGTTTAATGCAAATAAAAGAATCAATTAAGTTCAGTAAATGTTTATTTTTAGAAAAAATAAACATTTACTGAAAGAAATTAATTAAAAAATAATTTGCAATGAAAGTTTGCTTTAAAGTTAACTTTTAAAGTCCAAAGTTAGCATAAAATGTCAAAAATAGTAAATTGAATGTCAGCAGATCAGTTTAATGCAAATAAAAGTAATCAATTAAGTTCAATAAATGTTTATTTTTAAATGAATTACATTTTTCCAGCACAGGTAGATTTTATTTGAAACAGAGTTAAGTGAAATTAAAACCTTTTTAGTATTTATTTTATTAAAACTTTTAAAATCTGTCGAAATTTCTGCAGTAACCCAATCCAGATTTGTGACTAAAATTAATTTTAATATTTATAAAATATTCGAAATCAATTATAATTGCAGTTTTAATTAATTTCTGCAATGAAAGTTTGCTTTAAAGTTAACTTTTAAAGTCAGAAGTTAGCATAAAATGTCAAAAATAGTAAATAGAATGTCAGCAGATCAAGTTTAATGCATATAAATGTAATCAATTAAGTTCAATAAATGTTTATTTTTAAATGAAATACATTTTTCCAGCACTGGCAGATTTTATTTGAAACAGAGTTAATAAAAATTAAAACGTTTTTAATATTTAATTTATTAGAACTTTTAAATGCTGGTAAGTTTGATAACATACTTTTTTTATTAGAACTTTTAAAATGTTTTATTCTTGTCTAGGTACCGCATGAAATTTGTTGTGCCAAAATTATCTTTAGATTGTTTACTATCGTTTATTTGCATTTAAAAAAGCTAATTCTCTGATACGATTATCAAGAGTGGAGAAAATCAATGCTAATAAAAATCTCCGTTGACGGTATAAATGTTACTCTATTCCCTCATTTGTTTGTCTTCTTATTTATTCACCATCTTCAAAGCACATAAAGCGTTCTTTCTTATTGCGCCAAATAGTTAATTCCAGCCAGCTTGACAATGCATTTACAACGGAGATACCAACACCATGTACCACGTAAATCCGTCAGAAACCTTATAGGTATATTGCTACCAGATTCGTACACTAGGGTCATTATTATTATCTATGTTGCTGATATTCCTTCTTCATGACAATATCAGCTCAAATGCTACAACCATTATCACTCACAGATACTCACCTATGCTAACCTCAATTTTGCCATAATACCCGAGCACTAAAGACTCACCTACACCTTATATTATCAACAACCTCATATATGCAAGCCAGACCCATCACCAGGTATCCCTAACCCCTCTCTCTCCCCCCGCCCCCTCCCCTCAACGTACACACCTGGATGGACGCTTCCTTACAATACCATGACCTCTTAAGATTTTTATTGCACCAGCGTTATTAATTTACTACTTTCCATACAAACTTTTCCATTCTACTTATAAATGTTAATAAATTTTATATATGTATTATTAAATAACGTTGACATTAGAGAATCACTTTACGCCACCACCGTTAATATACGGATTGGATAGAAGGATTCGAACCCTAGCACAGCGACACCGAAGACCGCTGCCTTATCACTTGGCTACGCCCACCCCAACATTATTCACTTCTGTAACAACATACTATTAATAAGATTTTTTTAGCAATTCATTCATGTTCTATTCCTTGTATTTCTCATCGTCGTCAAAATTTTTTTTATCATTATGGCATCCACCAGGTACTGTATTGACCAAAAACAGTGCAGTTATAGGAGCTGTTTACAAAAAGACTTTTTGATTTACTAGCTAAACAGGATATAACTTTTCACCCTTTTTAGTAAAAATAAAATTAGAAAGAATTAAAATGTTTTTAACATTTAATTTATTATAACATTTAATATCTGTCGAAATTTCTTAGGTAACCCTGTCTGGATTTGTGACTAAAAATAATTTTAATATTTAAAAAACATTTGAAATCAATTATAATTGCAGATTTAATTAATTTCTGCAATGAAAGTTTGCTTTAAAGTTAACTTTTAAAGTCCAAAGTTAGCATAGAATGTCAAAAATAGTAATTAAAATGTCTGCAGATCAAGTTTAATGCAAAGAATCAATTAAGTCCAGTAAATGTTTATTTTTAAATGAATTACATTTTTCCAGCACAGGTAGATTTTATTTGAAACAGAATTAAGTAAAAATAAAACATTTTTAGTATTTATTTTATTAAAACTTTTAAAATCTGTCGAAATTTCTGTAGTAACCCAATCTGGATTTGGACTAAAATTAATTTTAATATTTTAAAAATATTTGAAATCAATTATAATTGCATTTACAAAATTCCTGCAATGAAAGTTTGCTTTAAAGTTAACTTTTAAAGTCAGAAGTTAGCAAAAAATGTCAAAAATAGTAAATAGAATGTAAGCAGATCAGGTTTAATGCAAATAAAAGAATCAATTAAGTTCAATAAATGTTTATTTTTAGAAAAAATAAACATTTACTGAAAGAAATTAATTAAAAAATAATTTGCAATGAAAGTTTGCTTTAAAGTTAACTTTTAAAGTCCAAAGTTAGCATAAAATGTCAAAAATAGTAAATAGAATGTCAGCAGATCAAGTTTAATGCAAATAAAAGTAATCAATTAAGTTCAATAAATGTTTATTTTTAGAAAAAATAAACATTTACCGAAAGAAATTAATTAAAAAATAATTTGCAATGAAGGTTTGCTTTAAAGTTAACTTTTAAAGTCCAAAGTTAGCATAAAATGTCAAAAATAGTAAATAGAATGTCAGCAGATCAAGTTTAATGCAAATAAAAGTAATCAATTAAGTTCAATAAATGTTTATTTTTAGAAAAAATATATTTTTCCAGCACAGGTAGATTTTATTTGAAACAGAATTAAACAAAATTAAAACATTTTTAGTATTTATTTTATTAAAACTTTTAAAATCTGTCGAAATTTCTGCAGTAACCCAATCTGGATTTGTGACTAAAATTAATTTTAATATTTAAAAAGTATTTGAAATCAATTGTAATTGCAGATTAAAATTAATTTGCAATGAAAGTTTGCTTTAAAGTTAACTTTTAAAGTCCAAAGTTAGCATAAAATGTCAAAAATAGTAAATAGAATGTCAGCAGATCAAGTTTAATGCAAATAAAAGTAATCAATTAAGTTCAATAAATGTTTATTTTTAAAATAAATATATTTTTCCAGCACAGGTAGATTTTATTTGAAACAGAATTAAGTAAAATTAAAACATTTTTAGTATTTATTTTATTAAAACTTTTAAAATCTGTCGAAATTTCTGTAGTAACCCAATCTGGATTTGTGACTAAAATTAATTTTAATATTTTAAAAATATTTGAAATCAATTATAATTGCAGTTTTAATTAATTTCTGCAATGAAAGTTTGCTTTAAAGTTAACTTTTAAAGTCAGAAGTTAGCATAAAATGTCAAAAATAGTAAATAGAATGTCAGCAGATCAAGTTTAATGCAAATAAAAGTAATCAATTAAGTTCAATAAATGTTTATTTTTAAATGAATTACATTTTTCCAGCACAGGTAGATTTTATTTGAAACAGAATTAAACAAAATTAAAACGTTTTTAGTATTTATTTTATTAAAACTTTTAAAATCTGTCGAAATTTCTGCAGTAACCCAATCTGGATTTGTGACTAAAATTAATTTTAATATTTAAAAAATATTTGAAATCAATTATAATTGCAGTTTTAACTAATTTCTGCAATGAAAGTTTGCTTTAAAGTTTACTTTTAAAGTCCAAAGTTAGCATAAAATGTCAAAAATAGTAAATGGAATGTCAGCAGATCAAGTTTAATGCAAATAAAAGTAATCAATTAGGTTCAATAAATGTTTATTTTTAAATTAATTACATTTTTCCAGCACAGGTAGATTTTATTTGAAACAGAATTAAGTAAAATTAAAACATTTTTAGTATTTATTTTATTAAAACTTTTAAAATCTGTCGAAATTTCTGCAGTAATCCAATCTGGATTTGTGACTAAAATTAATTTTAATATTTAAAAAATATTTAAAATCAATTATAATTGTAGTTTTAATTAATTTCTGCAATGAAAGTTTGCTTTAAAGTTAACTTTTAAAGTCCAAAGTTAGCATAAAATGTCAAAAATAGTAAATAGAATGTCAGCAGATCAAGTTTAATGCAAATAAAAGTAATCAATTAAGTTCAGTAAATGTTTATTTTTAAATGAATTACATTTTTCCAGCACAGGTAGATTTTATTTGAAACAGAATAAAACAAAATTAAAACATTTTTAGTATTTATTTTACTAAAATATTTTAATACCTGTCGAAATTTCTGCAGTAATCCAATCTGGATTTGTGACTAAAATTAATTTTAATATTTAAAAAATATTTAAAATCAATTATAATTGCAGTTTTAATTAATTTCTGCAATGAAAGTTTGCTTTAAAGTTAACTTTTAAAGTCCAAAGATAGCATAAAATGTCAAAAATAGTAAATTGAATGTCAGCAGATCAGTTTAATGCAAATAAAAGTAATCAATTAAGTTCAATAAATGTTTATTTTTAAATGAAATACATTTTTCCAGCACTGGCAGATTTTATTTGAAACAGAGTTAATAAAAATTAAAACGTTTTTAATATTTAATTTATTAGAACTTTTAAATGCTGGTAAGTTTGATAACATACTTTTTTTATTAGAACTTTTAAAATGTTTTATTCTTGTCTAGGTACCGCATGAAATTTGTTGTGCCAAAATTATCTTTAGATTGTTTACTATCGTTTATTTGCATTTAAAAAAGCTAATTCTCTGATACGATTATCAAGAGTGGAGAAAATCAATGCTAATAAAAATCTCCGTTGACGGTATAAATGTTACTCTATTCCCTCATTTGTTTGTCTTCTTATTTATTCACCATCTTCAAAGCACATAAAGCGTTCTTTCTTATTGCGCCAAATAGTTAATTCCAGCCAGCTTGACAATGCATTTACAACGGAGATACCAACACCATGTACCACGTAAATCCGTCAGAAACCTTATAGGTATATTGCTACCAGATTCGTACACTAGGGTCATTATTATTATCTATGTTGCTGATATTCCTTCTTCATGACAATATCAGCTCAAATGCTACAACCATTATCACTCACAGATACTCACCTATGCTAACCTCAATTTTGCCATAATACCCGAGCACTAAAGACTCACCTACACCTTATATTATCAACAACCTCATATATGCAAGCCAGACCCATCACCAGGTATCCCTAACCCCTCTCTCTCCCCCCGCCCCCTCCCCCTCAACGTACACACCTGGATGGACGCTTCCTTACAATACCATGACCTCTTAAGATTTTTATTGCACCAGCGTTATTAATTTACTACTTTCCATACAAACTTTTCCATTCTACTTATAAATGTTAATATATTTTATATATGTATTATTAAATAACGTTAACATTAGAGAATCACTTTACGCCACCACCGTTAATATACGGATTGGATAGAAGGATTCGAACCCTAGCACAGCGACACCGAAGACCGCTGCCTTATCACTTGGCTACGCCCACCCCAACATTATTCACTTCTGTAACAACATACTATTAATAAGATTTTTTTAGCAATTCATTCATGTTCTATTCCTTGTATTTCTCATCGTCGTCAAAATTTTTTTTATCATTATGGCATCCACCAGGTACTGTATTGACCAAAAACAGTGCAGTTATAGGAGCTGTTTACAAAAAGACTTTTTGATTTACTAGCTAAACAGGATATAACTTTTCACCCTTTTTAGTAAAAATAAAATTAGAAAGAATTAAAATGTTTTTAACATTTAATTTATTATAACATTTAATATCTGTCGAAATTTCTTAGGTAACCCTGTCTGGATTTGTGACTAAAAATAATTTTAATATTTAAAAAACATTTGAAATCAATTATAATTGCAGATTTAATTAATTTCTGCAATGAAAGTTTGCTTTAAAGTTAACTTTTAAAGTCCAAAGTTAGCATAGAATGTCAAAAATAGTAATTAAAATGTCTGCAGATCAAGTTTAATGCA